GTTGTTGGACGGGAAAGAAGTTGCCGGAGTCGGAGGGTGGAGGAGGCTGCTCGTCGTGGCATGTGTCCGCGTCGGATTATACGTGTACGGAAATATCGGAGAACAACGGTGTCTTTTGAGCATAATAGCCGGTCCTTGGAACCAACTCTGGGCAAAGTTATCGCGAAATTTCGCCCGCCGCGGATGAAAAGTGTCGCCTCGGACTGGAACTTCGTGGTGCCGGGAATAAATTTGCCGGGGCTATATTAATCGCGTCGGGGTAGGCGAAATTAACGTTGTAACGAGATTACGAGAAGTCGGGAAGTAAGTTAACCGTCGTTTAAATATCCTTCCCATTCGTAACTCGATATTTCCGCGAGAAGAAAGAGACTCGGGCTGTACAGCCGTTTAACGACACCGCGAAGTTGAGCATCCGTCCGCGAGATTCCTGATTAAAAATTCAAATTTCCCGCGCCCCCGTGACTCCGGTATACGTCTCGGCGTACAATTTCCACTCCGAATGTCCGCGCATTCAGATGCAAAACAGAGAGAGCGGTATTCAGAGCCGAGGGAAAACCGATCGATCGAGGAGCAGGTTTATTTATCCCCGCGTGTCGTTGACAGTCTCCAAATCCTCGAGACGGTCTTTCACGCCAACGACTGGATTAACGCGTGGCAACTGGGTCAGCTGCTGCAGTCTCCGTATCAACTCGGCTCTCCATTTCCCTCTTTCTCTCCTCCTCTCTCTCTCTCTCTCTCTCTCTTTGTCGCACAACTGGTGCATCGCCATCCATGAAAGTTGCGGCGTAAGGATTTTATTTATGAGTTTGTTTGCGGACGAGCGCGACCCTCTCTCCGATAAGTGGCTATGGGGCCCTCGTGGAAGCGTGCTTCTGGCAGATTGCACGCGTGGTTATGGGGGATGCAGAGAGCAGACCGCTTAGCAGAGAAGGGGAATTGGCCCGATAACGGGTCCGAGGCTCGGATGGTTCTTTATTTACCATAAAATTCGCCCGGTGCTCGCCGGGCGGAATGGATTTCGCGACCGCGGCTAAAATTTTATTACCGCTCGTATGACAAACCGCCCAATTACTAACCACCGATACGTTAATAGAGCCATTTCTCCTGGTATGGAGAAGAAAAAAAAAAAAAAGAAAAAAGAGGGGAAAAAAGGGAAAATTAAAAAAAGGGCGGAAAACCGGGGATAGCGCGAGCAGCGTACGAAGCAACAGAGAATAAAAAGAAAGGAAAAAAAAATTGTATTCTTTATTCGATCAGCGACGCACCGTTCACCGGCTGACCGCAACGGGGTTGGTGGGCGGACGCGCGGAGCGCAGGGACATTTTTGTCCGCGTTCGCCGGCGCGAGCTCGATAAAAGCGCAACGATCTCCGGGATAGAGGCGCGAATGAAAGAGCGTTTAGCGCTCGAATCGAAACGCTGTATCGCACCGAAACGCGGTTGATGATCGGGAAAATCGAACTCGCCGGTGTTTCCTCGAATCGGAAGTTTCTCGTTTCATCCGTGTAACGCGACGCATTGTAACGTTTCCGGTCCGTGCAGTGGAACGGAGACGGAACGAGGATGCAAATCGAGGGGGGGAAAAGGGGAAGAAAAATCGGGTGAAAGGAAAAGAGAGAAGGAGAGGGGAACCTTTTACCCCGGTAGTTATAGCTGCTTGCACGACTCCGATAAGGGCTGCAATTACTTATCGACCCGGTAATTGTCCGGCTGGATTATAACTATCAAGAAAAAGGTCCCTGTTTCTCGACCCTCGCCGCGAGGGTACACGCGCATGAAAACATTGTAGAAAGCCGACGAAGGGAGAGAGTAAGAGAGGAAAGGCGGACGCGCGGCGTGTACCGACGTATCAATTTACTCGGAAACTAGTTATCCGCGCTTCCCTCCGCGCGTATACTTAGCAGATTGGCTGGTTGGAGGAACGCACGGCGTGGTATTCACGAAAACCGGCCCCGCCGGCCGGCGCATTACATCCGAACGAACGTATTCATATTCATAGGTGTTCCGCGAATTCTCGGGATTTCGCGATCTAGCCAGCGGATCCAGACACGCACCTTCCCGCCGTCACCCCGCCAGCCCCCCGTTCCCGATAAGTGCCGGCTCACGTGATTTACCGTAATTTCGACACGCGGAGGATCGTGTCTCGCGTGCTCGCGCGCCAATTCCGTGCCGCGACTTTTACTACCGATCCGCGGCTTTCCTCTCCGCTTCGCGGCTCTGCCCTCCGTTGCGTTTTCAGGCGAAAAAAAGGGCAACAGAGGTTGCACCGGGCCGATTAAATCGCTGGCCAGGAGAAAATCGAGCAACTGGGATAGACCAACCGGCTTTCGTGACTTTTCAGCGGCGATTAGCCTCGAATTGGACGGGTTCCTGCTGGGGATGACTCGCAGCAGTCGGGGATTAACGCGAGCAGCGCCAGTTTCGATATTTTCTCGTTTTGCCGGGAAACTGGTTCGTGGAAGAAGTTTCGAGCGTTCCTCGCCACGCGAATCTCGCGTAGATAGCTCCGTTTGGAACGGATAGGCAAAGAGAGCGCGGTAGTCGAAGGAATCGAAGATCCGGGATGAAGAAACGAAGCATGCGAGGCTTCCACCGAACTGGCTACCAATTGGCTATTGTTAGAGAGAAAGAGAGAAATTTGCAAACCACCGGGAAGGAGGACCGTGTGCAAATCGGGGATAATCGAATCGTTTCGCGAGAGGAAACAGTTTGAACGGAGGGACGAGGATTCGATGGAGGACGGTAATTCGGTAGACTCGTACTCCGCGTTGGTTTTCCTACGATAAAGTCGATTTCCGAAATCGGTTCGGATAACGAGCGCACGCGGACCGCGTAACGAAGCAATGGAAATTGCAGAGAATAATGATACACGGGCCATGGCGGACGCGTAACCGCGAGAAATATCCGAAAACCCGGGCCGGCCGTAATCGGATCTTGAAAAGGGAAACAAATGGATCCAATTAACGACGTCCAAACGTGGAATATTGAAAATATCGGAGGAAGTAATTAAAATACACATGGCCCGTGGTCCGCCGGGTCCTTTTAACAAATTGATTCCGACGTTATCCTATGCCCGCGCGTGTAGCGATCGCGAAACTTTCGACGACACCGTGCGATCGTTAAAAATAATCGCGGCGTAATAATATCGTGGAAGTAAATGAACGTAACGCGGTTGCCGTTTCGCAGACACCGTTTCCTTTCCGCGTCTTTGCCGCTTCGCGGCGATGAGAAAACAAACTGTCGCTGTCAGCGAGGCTCGACCCGGCGATTTATATCTCGCCCGTATGAATTATCGATCTATTCGCGGCTCTCACCGGTATTTTTCCCGCCTCTTATTCTCATTCGCCTGTCCTCTCGCCTGCTCCTCCGCAAACGAGGCTTCTTGCCGACTCTGTGACCGTGAAGCTAACCAGAAGCACGAAATTTAAATCACAAGCGAACCATCCACGTTCTACGCGTATCCTACGAATTCTTCGTTCTTCCCCCGGTTCGATATAAATTCCCAAGATCCATCGGGATCGTTGATCGAGGCCGCAGAGGTCACTCGAAGGTTAACCTCGAAGAGAAATAGAAAAATCGGGATAAAGGAGGGAAGACGAGGGACAATCGAATCCACGGTTACGGAGCGTGTCTCCTTTCGATTCACCTCGTTCGTAAACGCAAATAAAGCTGTCAGGTCGGCGTAAAAATAGAAGTTACGCAAGAAAGGCGCTAGAAATTGGTCGATTCGTGACCGGCGAACTTACGATTCCGCGAATAGAGAGGCGAGAACGGGCGGGGGCCGGAATTCGTGAAATCGCGGGCACGATCGTCAGCCGTCGCCGGATTTATTTGTCTGTCATCGATTATCGAATCGTATTGGCCGCCGTTATTCCTATCTGCCTGCAGTTCCGGAATCCGTCCTCGAATTCATTTCCTATTCGCGTACGAGCGGATCTTCCGATGAAATTTCTCCGTCCCCGTGCCTCCCCGTTCCACGGAGTTCCTCCGCTATTCTTTACTCTCTTTTCTTTTTTATTTTCGAAGGAATCCGTCCTTGGACCCCTTCCACGAAGCGGCAACCTACGTGATTCTAGGCTGCTTTACGCGCTAATAACATCTGGCGGGGATCTATCGGGTAAATCGTATACAATTTTTCGCCGCAGATCGATGCTTGGGCGAAATTTGCGTTCTAGTCGAAGGCTCGCGCGTGCGTCCGAGTTAATAAATCCTTCTGGATCGGCTGGCCCGTGGTAATCAAAGGAAACGTGAAAAAGAACACGGCCGCGTGCAAGCGTCATTCGTTATTTCGAGAAGAGGAAGGCAAACAAGCGTGATTTACGAAGAAATATAAACGTCGAAAATTGCTGTCGCTATGCGCCGCAGGTTCCGAGTGAGCTGCGCCAAGGAGCACCATCGCGATGCCCCCGTTTAGATCCGAAGGCTACCAGTCTGAAACGCGTTCCACGTCCGCTGATAAGCCGGTCGAAATATAATAAGCAAAGCACGACAACCGGCCACGCTAGCCGAGTCATTCAACCCGATGCCTGCCCGCCATTTCGCGTAATAGTTTAATCGTTAATGCTAGCCGTGTGCGCGCTGCGCGGCGTTCCTCCACTTCCGGTTGCCGAGAAGCTAAGCCGCGCCGGGTTCTCGCGCTCCCGCGATCCTCCGGATCCGCCGTCGTTCGATCGAACGTCGTAAAGATAAACGGATTTGCCATTCAGCCGATCCGAACGTTTATTATTGAACACGCCAGCGGACTCGGAGCGAGCACCCAGATATTTAGAGCGTTTCCAGCTCCGACTTCTTCGACACTCCAGCTGCTCGCGTCGACGACGACTCGGGGAATGCCAGATCGGGGAAATTTATCGTTTCAACTGCCAGAACCTTTGCATCCGATATTCCACGTTATAATTCCAACCTTGATATTCATTCGCTTCACAGGCACGGATGCACCAGCTCGCGTATCTTTAATGGAAAAACTTTTTAATCGCTAAACGAACGAAATTTCCATTGCAGATGACATGGAGATCCTGGCATACTTCTTCGGCCCCATCGGCTTCCTGCTCGCGGTCAACCTGCTCTTCTTCGCGGCCACCGCTCGCGAGCTAACGTGCGGCCTCTGGAAGGGCGAGTTCGTGAAGAGCACCACGGAACGGTAAGAACAATTTTTCCCACTCGATCCGAATGGATCTCTGTCTCCTCGAACCTTCTCCGATCCCAATTAAATCCCCGAAGCCCCGAATCTTCTCGGTTCACGCCCTGCTTCCCGGAAATACGCCGGTCTTCGCACCGACCGGACGGATATGACTGTTCCTCGCGTATCCGCGAGGGAGAAATATTTACTCTAAAGCTTTCCGGACGAATCGACAGTTTCGTACTAAACGTACTCCGCTAATGGGCCACGCGGTCTTCGTTTCGCGTAAATATTTGGCGAACTTTTCCAGGAACGAGGCCTCGTCGGGAAGCGGATCGAGTAGAAAAATCGGGCGGAAACGATCCCTCCGCGTCGTCGCGATCGCGGAAAATTTCTCGAGTGCACTCGAGACCCGGATCACGCGCTGCGTCCAGGTTATTTTCAGTGCCGGTGTTACGCCGTGCCTGCGTTTGCTGAAGATCTAGATCGCGCTAAGCCTAAAACGTTGAAAGTTTCCCGGTTACTTTAGATCGCAGATAGAGGCGCGCGTTCCTCCGCCGGCCTCAGCCCGAATTATCTAAAGTCCAATCTGGCCTTACGCTATCTCCCCACTCCGGAGGCCAATACTATCTCATAACCGAGCCGCGGATATAAACGGAAATTACCAGGAAACGTTTCCAAGTGCGCGTCCTTGCTAATCACCGCGGGGTGCTGCTCGACGCGGAGATCTTCTCGGAAACTTAAGAGAGAAGCGATTACGCGGCTCGATGGTAAACTTGGAAGAGTTTTCAGGAACGGACGATACAGAGACGCGGAACGATCTCGGGCTTCCGTTTTATTGCACCCGCGGCGCGCGATGCTTTATTTCGGCGCGAAGGACGACGCTGGCGGCCGATAAATATCAAGGATAACTGGTTCCATCGCGGTCCGGCGCCGCGCCATATCCGCGGATAATCGGGATCAGCGCGCGCTCAACCTCGGGACGTTTACTTAAATTAAGATACTCCTGTGGAATCTCCGTTGCCTGCCCCTCTTCTTCCGTGGGATATCTTTTAACGAGCAATTACCCCGGAGTAGCGGGAGAAAGTGAATCGCTTCTGCCCTCGAAAGCTCGCGAGGCTGCTTCGCGGAAGCGTTGATTTACGAGCGCTTCCGCGTCGATCGGAATTCGTGGGAAATAAACGAGGGTGATTCTTGGCAGCTTTGTCGGGAATCGGCCAATCGTTCTCGTACACGAAGTCGTATTTGCCGATACGAGCAAGGGGGTACGGGATAAATTTAGATGCCGAGTGTTCAAAGAGTCGCGGCTATTCGGCACCGACGAATGGACGTCGTTAAGGGAACCCTGGGTATTCTACAAAGAATTCGAACGCGGGGGATCGATAAAGACCTTTGGATGGGGTCGATAACGCGACGTCGGTCATTTTTATATCACGGCGACAGAGGCAAAGTGGAGGAACCTGTGGCAACTTTAGAGAAGTTCGGGGACGCTACCGGAGACAAATGGGTCAGATAAACCGGCGAATTCTTTGAACGAAGTGTCCAACAGGAGATGGAAATATAGCGTCGGTGGCCGTCGCCGCGTCTCATCCCCATCGATCTCCGATACAGGCGACGGGCGTCGTTTGACGAATCACATTTTTTCGGATATTTATGCTTGGCAGCCGGCTAGCCTTTTTACAGAGCGCCCCGGCTCAAAGGAGAGAATTTATTTTATCACAGCCGCGCCGACAGATATCAGGCATCGAATCGTTATTTTCCATTCGTACGCCGTCCCTTCGAACCACCTTTGCTCCCTCGTCCCGTCGAAATTGATATTGACGATCTCAATTTGCGATTCTCTTTCGGCCGTGCTCGCCTTCTCTCTCTCCCTCTCTCGCTCTCTGTCTGCCCGCACGGAGGGACCGGCACGAACGCCACCATAATGGCGGATAGAGATTCTCCCGCGTTCGCCTCTGCCCATTTTTTCCCTATCCGTAATTTCGAGGAGCTCGCTCTTTTTCATCCGCCACCCGGTTACGCTAATTCTCGGATATTCGTGGCTCCATTCTTTTTGGCGTTACGCGATATCGTTGCGCGATCCTGCAAAAACACTGGATCCTATCTGCATACCCGTGATTCTCTATGTCGATCCAGAGGCTCATAGGATCTCCGAGTTGCACGCGAAACGAGAAGTCAGACGTTATATTAATCGATAGCTTTGGAAAATAGAGACGAAGGTTATTCTTGGCAGGTTATCTTTGGAAGAGGTGAATAAACCGATGGTTTAGGCTGAATTCTGCCAGATCGACTTTTATCCCAAGGATTTCTCGGGGCTATCCCGGGAATCGAAATCTCGTCGAACGGAATTTATCGGTTCTCGCTGCGTTAATTCTCCATGTTTCCACGTACGTGGCTTTCAACGGATCGTTATTTTGAAATTTTCGAAATCTGCCGAGAGAGGAGGGAACGACACGACAGGCTCGCGGGTATTCTTTAAACGCTTCGACTTAAACGACCCGACGTGTTTCTCGAAAGAAGCACGAATGTGCAGCGTGCAATAGAAAACGGGCAAGCGGAATGATTTTTGAAAGAAAATAAATAGCGGGCGCAAAAATAGGAACTCTCCTGATCTCTGTCAAGGTTGACCCGCGGGTCTATGTTAACAAAGCTTCTTTTACACCACCCGGTGTACTATACTTGAAAAATATTCGATCGGATTTCGAATACGAAAACAGAAAGCCTGCCTAAAATTAGACACCCGAGCGTTGCTCGTACACCCTCCGCTGCCATTTTACGACCGTCTTTTGACAATACGATTCGAATAAAATCGGTCGATAAATTTCGCGCGTGCATAAAAATTCGCGAAACATCGTTGCTTACTACGACATCGAGTATTCCCATAAATTATCCCCGGCTAATCGTAAAAAGTGTAAAACCACGAATTTAGACACCACCCCCTCGCGACAGGGAAAAGGAAGAAGAAACATGGCGTACCGTTCCAAGTCCAGAAATATCGACGTTCGTCTCGGGATAAAGAAAATCGTAGAAAATTCCGATGTCTCGTTCATTGAGGAACCTGTGAATGGCGCGCCGGCCGTGGGCTTTCCGCTCGCGATTTAAAAGTCCGGCGTCGCTGCCAAAATAAACGCGTCGCAAATAAAGCTCGGCCGGTGTGTATCGCGGCGCTCAAAGGAGAAAGGAGGTGAATAAGAAGAAGAGGAAGACGAAGGAAAAGGAAGAAGAAGGAAAGTAGCCCCTTTTGAGTTATGTTCGAACCGGGAGCGACAAGGTTACCGGGCGAACGTAAACGTGATAAAACACGCGCTATAACCGTCAGCTGGATGATGCGGGCAGATGCAGTCGTCACGATTGCATCGTCCCCGTTTCTTCTTCCTTTTTCACCACCCACTGTCAACCCCCTCATCTCTGCTGGGAAGTCTCGGTAGATCGCAAAGTGGAGACCTGTGTATTCGTCGGCTTTCAGAGATTCCGGATAGATCTCGCGGAACGGAAGCGATGGAAAATATGGCGGCGGAGGATCTTGCTCTAGCAGCGTACTCGCGATCAGAGTCCCCGTCACGCCTGCCATCTATCGGCGGTATCGTTCTCCAGGACCCATGGCCTCTAATCCTTTTCAAGGCCGTAATAAATGAATTTACTTTATGACGGTATCTCGTGCACCGTTGCCAATTTTTTCACCCTACGTTCCTCTTTCTCCCGTTGCTACCCGTTCTGAGAATCACCGAGTCACTGCTCGCAGGAAATTGCTCTTTCTTCCCTCTCGCTGCGCTGCACCCTTTTCGTCCTTTCCGTTATTAAGAATCCTCGGTAGTTACGGACAGAGTGCTCGAAGGAGGTCTCGATCGCGCTAGGTTCGCGTTTGATCCATCCTAGTCCCGTTAATCCATTAAGACAGGTTTGCCAGGAACATCGGTAGCTGGAATGACTCTATTCCGGATGCTGCCGCTTCCTATGTAGCCGCAAAGTTTCTCGTAAACTGCAATCGTGGTACCTATTACTTTGAATGATTTTCTTCCTTTCTTCGATTATTTTCCTTTTTTCCCCCGTCATTTCGCGGCGATTATACAAAGAACGCTCATACGATAACAACGTCCAGACGAAATGGTTCTCATTAAACGCGTTTCCCGTTGCGAGTGTAACGAGCGATCGAAGCGTCCATCGGTGTATTCCCAGATTTCCCGTCCCCCATGATTTTCCCCTTTCCTTTTTTGTTATTAATGCCGTCGATATTTTCAGTCTCAGACAGCCGCTAACAATCCATATCCACCCCTCTGTCTCGTTACGTCAATTAACACGGTGCCGGATCCACGATCCTGCCTCCTTTCCAAACGCGGGCGAGTGGCATTAATTTGAAGCGTGGAACAAAAATACCAATGGCTGTCTGCTCCCAAAACGACTCTCCTTTGTGCATCCCCATTCTACGCGATCCTCCCTTTCCGATTTCGTTTCCGTCAAAAATCCCTGCGGACCTCGACACATTCGCGATTTTCCAAATATAGCGGACGGTTTACGAATTGCAAAAGAAAGGAGAACGCTAGGGAACCGCGTGTTTGCGCCGGCCACGGTCGAAGCAGTAAAGGAGGAACACCGATAAACAGAAATCGTCGAATTCCCGGATAAAATGGGAACAAGAAGCGCGTAAAATGGAACCATTACTTCTCGCTCCTCGTTTGACAAGCACAGCCGCTTCCACGCTTTGATCGAGTGCCTTCTCGAAAGTCTTCTCTTTACTCGTTCGCTCGTGTTCCGAGAGATCACCGGTATCGGTGGAGTCGGTCGGGGTGCAGCTGTTCCCGCACAGGTGATCGACCGTTTGTTTGCATTCCTCTGTTCGACGGATCTCATGCTTATCACGCGCTCGGCCCCTCTCCGCACCGAGGAAAGCTTCATCCTGCACGCGCGAGTTCACCTTCGTGGCCTCGCGTCTAATTTGCTTTCCGCGGATATCATTAGCCTCTCCCGTCTCTGCGAATTCGATGCTTGGATTCGAGCCATCGCCGCGCGGTGCTTCGCGATGAATTTTTCAACCGCTCGACCAGCGATCAAATTTTCATCGGAATAATATTCCAGGGAGCCCGATACTGTTGGCATAACGGTGGATCGATAATAAAAGCAGTGCATCATTGATGACGAAATCCCGCCGATGTTTCCATTAGTCTACGCCGTGCATTGTTCCTAGCTGCTCGAAAGGGAAACAGTTTTCAGATAATTTCCAAGACGTCGAGTTCGCTACCAGGTCGTCGCTAGTTGCCTGTTCTCCACGCCGGAGATTTCGCGTTTATCGAGCTTGGATTTTTTCCTTCGGTTTATAAAAAGCCGATTCGACGACGGCAAGAAGCGACATTACACGAGCAATGATAAAATTTATTTTCGAACGTTCGTAGGTAGCTAATTGATTTCGAATAAGACGCAGTAAAGGTACGAGGGACACGGTGCATTAAAGTTGCCCGCCTCGTGGTTCTGTTTCAACCTCGCATTAAGCCGTAATTATCGTAATGCGTATGCACAACATGCCGGCGTGGCATCCCGTAATAGCTGGATACGAGAATCTTCTATTTTCGCAACGTCTAATTGTTACGAGCGGAGAACATGCAAACATCTCGCGACTTGCAACCGGTGGCAGGCCAAAAATAACGCCGGGACCAACCGCGACGATTAGGGCGGAGAGGTGAGCGAGGCGGAAAAGTGGCGAGAAAGTTCCTCTTACCCCGTGAATCCTGCCGTGACATTACGCGATTCGATCTTTCACCAATTTCGAATACAACGTCAAATGAAATCCTCTAAATACGTGCTTGATCAGGGCGTACTAGAATTATAAAAATCGTGAAAAAATGACGACAGTGGTTCCGAGGTTATGGAATTCGTCGCGGAGTTTGGAAAAAATTGGGAAAACGAAGGGAAAGCAGAGAAAAATGAATTGCGATCGAAAAGCACGTAAAATCGGGGGTTGCGGGGGATCGGGATGACAAAAGATTGGGCAATGGCGAAAGCGCGCGGATGGGAAATGGCAGGATGGAAAGAGGTCTCCGTGGCCTTTATAACGCTATAATTTCGCGACACGACACCGTAACGGGCTGCGAATACTCAGCCGGAACGAATTAATAATGCTTTGACTTCGACCACAATGCGATGCATACATTACCAGCGCGGCGCAACGTGTCACGCCGAACAAACGGATACGTTTGCGGCCTGATTTATGCTCGTCGTAATTGAACGCCACGCTAATTGAATCGGGTCGCTTTTTGTCGCCGGAAATTCGTCGCGGTACCTGTGGCGCTGCCCGGCCGAGCGATATCTTCGAAACACGAATAAAACAGCTCCTTTGTGGAAGATGAAAAATTACGTTCCTATGCCGGGTACGCGTAACGAGAAAGATGAACACGCGTTGAATTTTCTTCGAGCGTGGATCTTTGAATCGCTGCTGAATCCTGTTTTCTTTGAACCCCGGGCACAATAAGCGTCATAAATCTACGGGACTGGTGGAAAAAAATTCTTTTCACGCGCAGCTAGTAAACGCTGGGGACTCTGCAGGCAGTAAGTCTACTGGACTATTCGACTACTCGAACCCGTATCCCCATCGGACAAACGTCTCGACCAATTAAGTTCTCCAGCTCTGACTGCACCTTCTTCACCCTAAACCTAATAGACCCTCGTCTTCCACGATTCTGGTCCTCCTAAAATAGACAGTGATCTTTCGTAGATCGGTCGATCTGATTCGTAATACACGGAGCACTTTCCAGTTAAAATAGTTTGCAACTCTCAACGAGAAATGAACGTTTCTGTTCCAGAGCCGCTTTGGGCCGCGTGTGCATGAAACTGGTGGTCGTGATGGGCATCACCTGGGTGGCCGACGTGGTCTCGTGGGCAGTCGGTGGCCCTCAATACATCTGGTACGTCACGGACATGATAAACGCGTTCCAGGGCGTGCTGATCTTCGCGGTGGTTGGCTGCCAGCCCCAGGTCCGTGCGGCGCTGAAGAGGATCTGCAACAGGAACCCGAGGACCAACGCTGGAAGGCAGGGAAACGGGCTGAGCACCACCAGTCACGGGATGCCCAGCATGGGCGACAGCGTCATTCAGAATCCGAGCACGAAGACCGCTCCGCTGGAAACCATCTGCTAAGCGACTTCTCCGACCTGCCGCTTCCGACAGCCGAGGTTCTCTGACCGGGTGGCGTGCAGCCTTTCTTTCCTCGGAACCGTCGTTGCCGGTCAGCTTGCTCGCGAACGGGAATCGAGGAAGAATCGAGTGGACGGGAAGCTGCGCGTGTTCGAGAGAGAAGGAATCCCGTGCCTCTCGAGGCCCGTGAAACAGACGCGGAAGTGCACGCAGCCGGAAGAACTCTGTATACGAAGCGACCAGCGTGCAAGACGTCGCACCGATAGATCGATCCCGGAGCAGCACGATCCTCTGCTCTCGCCGATACGTGCTCGATGCCCGATACAAAGTCAGCTACGAAAGGGACAGGGAATCTTCCGCTTTCCGCGATTCCCAAGGTCGTCGACCTTCGAGACCCTGAACTCGAAGCGCTTCCCCGTTCCGGATGACTATGCGACTCGACGAGAGGCGTTCCTGCCCGCGACTGTCCACTCGCGCGATGTAGGGCCCAGGTTCCATTCGCGTTAAAACCTCTTCTTTTCTTTCGGGGTCGTCGACCTTGGCAGAAGACGCAGAAGTACAGTCGCTAAGAACGCGTCTGCTCGCCGCACACGGCCGCTCGTGTCGTCAGCTATGCGCGGGGAAAGCGGCGGATCGCGCGAGCCTGTCACTTTGAATAGTTCATTGTCTCGGCAGCGAACACAATAGAGAGCAGAGAAAACAACGCGAAGCGACAAATATTCATAGAGGGACCCCCGTCCTGGTTCGAGTCCCGTCTCGAGGGAGAGAGCCGTGTACCCCGTGACCCGAGGTCCGGCTTTCACTCGCGTCGGATGTCGGATCTCCGGTTATCGTCGCAATTTCTAGTTCCGCGCCACCTCCAGGCTCCACCGTCCTCGCGTATATTGGCAAAGGATCGTTACGACGATCCGCGAGCGACCGGTCACTGTCCATCGATGACGAGCAAAGTTGACGAGGCGATGCGTGGTCGATACGAGACGCGTTATTTCGGTACCAATAAACGGCGCCAGCCAGCGACGAGGTCGGCCGCGATTATGGGCGAACTTTTCGCGCGACAGTGAGGTCGCGATCATCGATATTAATACTCGCGGACGATCCAGAGCGTACCATTTTGTTCCCTTTCGCGCGTCGCGGTTCGAGGTCGCCATTCCACGAGAGGAATCGGCGCCGATTTTGAAAGCGGAAAGGCACCGGAAAATTTCTCGTATAGGACGAAGAGTACGACGCTTTGGATGGCAGGATGAAATCGGGAACGGCCTTGACCCGCGTTCACGAGCACGTCGCGCGAGGAAAGGACGACCGATGAATTCCGAGCTTTTTCTTCCACGGCTCGCCCCGCTTCGTTATTCATCGGGCGTGCCTGGAGCCACGAGCGATCGCTCTTCAATTTCCTTTAGCATAAATTTGCATCGACACCCGTGGCCGACTACAATCGTGGCTCTACCATTAGCGCCTTGCATTAGGAGCCTTACAGCCGTGGCCTCGTCGATATCGGCCGCGCCATTTTCTCTAAACGCATTAAACGCTTCCACTTCTTTTTCATCGCGGCCCTGAATGGCCTCTCGAATCGCCCACTTAACGCGCGATCGAAAAACGAACGCGTGTACCAGAAACGATTTAGCTTTATCGGGCCGCACGATTTATCGCGTCTACTTGTATGTACCTTGCCAAACGGGACTGTGGAGCGCATGGAGGGGCTGGAGGAAAAGTTATCCGCACTGCCAAATCGTTCTCGATGACAAAACTCGAAGCAACAGATTCGTTTCACTGCCAAGTTGCAGCAACTTTTGATATGGATTTACAATGATCGTCGGTATTCTCGAACCTAAGCACAACGAAGCGCCGTTCGTGTATCTGTGGTAGTGTAAACGGCGCTCTTTTCATACTTTTAATACCGCGAGATGATTTTACACGGATGATGATACGGAGAAAACAGACGCTGCGAATCCGATTGAAAAGCAGCCAATTAAATTCGATGATCGAGCGAAAAGCGTTTTCTTTTTCTTCGCCGGATGAGTCACGCTTTCAAGAAAGCATACGTAGGTAGGTCAGGGCATAATGGACGACAACTCGTGACAATACACACTAGGAATTCAATGCCTTCTGAAATGCCTTCCAAACGTGGTGTTCAACGTGCCGAATTGTATACAATAGGGAACCAGACGGAGACCAGGTGAAGTCTCCTCGGTTCTCGCATCGCGTGCGACCGCGCGAGATTACCATTTCTCTGCGCGATTTCCGGCGTAACTTCCGATGACATTCCCCGACAGATTCATTCACCTTGTACCGGTGAATTAATCACGCTCACTTGACAGCACGGGGTAAAAGGCTGTCTCGCGACACGCGAGTAACGCGCCTACCTCTTTTCCCTTCTTTTCCATCTTTTCTTTTTCAACCACGATTTTTCTCACGCCGGTCTGAAATTTTACGCGACATCGGCGTTCCTTTCCGTTCTAATTTCTTGCCTTTCGAATTCCGACGAAAACGAGCATGGGGAATGTCATGGGAAATCGCCGGGTGCGATAGCACGCACCGCATAAAAACCGTCTCACGTCTGCGTAGAGTTAGTACCTCGCACTCGAGTTTGCTATTCTTTAGACCACACGTTCGCGTAGTTCTCGGCGCGTGAACGGGAGTAGAGTAATCATTGTCATTGTTTCTTCAGGTGCATCCAAGAGACTGAGCCATGTACCATTCGCTCATGTTAAACGAAACTATCTGAACTCTCTGCGAAGATACTCCACGCCGTTTTCCAAACACGAACTCTCTCCTGAAATGTTACCTTCGACGGAACCGTGCGCGCGGACTCAGTTTCTGGATAAATAACGTTTAAAGCGGATCCCTTCGTCCGGATAAAGCTTGTCGGGTACGGTACGATGGATCTTTGCAGAGGAACAGATCGTTTCGCGGATCATATTAGTTCCTTTTCTTTTCGTGTGAACGGGAGTGGAGCGCGAAGTCGCGGGTGTATCGTCGATTCGCCTGGTACCCGATGAAAGGCGAAAGTTCCCTTTGATCTCTCGCCAGTCGCGGATAATGGAGAAATCGTTCGATTCCTTGTCGATGTACGCGTCCACGTAGCGTGCGTGTCGTGCCTGCGTGCACGTAGCGAGTAATTGCGTGACAATGCGAGCGTGTGAACGGCACCGTGTAATTAGCGTATTAACGAGCAGTAACTTCGTTATAAATCCCTTGCTGTGTATAATCGCGGCCGAACAATGCGTAACGAGCCGGCGACAATTGTAGCAGCTTTTCCGTTTCGTCCGCTCGTGTTTCATCGCGACACGAGCTCGGCAATCGTGCTAGTTTGCCTCTGGTCACGACCACAACAACGACGACGATGACAATGACGACAACGACGCGAGCCACGCGTTCAAGGATCAATTGATCTCGCGCGTGATCGAGTCGATGTCGCGCGACGAATCGACCAGTCGTTCAGCTCGTACGCATCGATCGCTGCCGCCATTGCATCTCCTTGTAGATAACATTCTCTCGTCATTATGTTACTTGTAATTATACATTAAGCGGATAAGTTATTCGTGTCCGTCGCAGGCGGCCAGCTCTCCGAGTTTTCGAGAAGAATGCGAACCACTTTGAGGAATTGCTCGTACACGATAGAAAGCTGGTCGCAAAGACGGATTACGATGTACATTTAATGAAACATTCAGCGTACTCGACGATAGTTCGTCGGCTAGTTAGGGTAATCGATGAGCGAAGAGGAACAGCGTAGCCTTAAAACTAATTTATTCGGAGTAGTCGTTGTTGGCGTATGAACAATAAGAGAAACGTAACGTATATAGTACACACGTAATAAATACACGTAAACGTATAAACGTACACGGTAGCTTGCCAGTATAGAGAAGTAGAATTAAGGGGGAACACGTGAATCACGACGAGGGCACGGCGCAGAAAAGCGCGTGGAAAAAGAAAAGTGGAGAAAAAGAGGAGAAAGGGAGTGAGCATGGCGATCGTTCCGGGAGAAAATCGGCGCAATCGGCCGAGACGCGTAACGATTATCGGGGACCGCGTGCCTTCGCGTAATTTACGTGCGCGCGTTCGCAGCGCGGAAAATCCAATGTTGAATTTAACATCGAGGACGTTCTCGGCCACGGTGAACACTGTTGCTAAGTAAACCGTGGCCAGCGGGATAGATTAGAAAGTCGTCGATTTGAAATTTTACGAAAGATGTTGGAAATGAAACGTAGCTGATTAATATCAGATTCGACAATGGATTCTTCGCGAGGTAGAAGGTTTCGCAAATTGGCCAAAATAGTTCGTCACTTTTTGTATATTTTTTACCGCTATTTACGAAGGACGGAGCGAAGAATTGTTTCGTCGTAGAAACTGTTACATCGAGAGGAAAGGTTGATTCTTCGGATACACGGAGGCTATTATAGACAGACAATAGTATTAACTCGTCGAGAGTGTTTAGGGACGAGTTTGTGGCGAGCTCGTCTTGGCTCGATTAACCATGTAGAGAGAACAGCCGGATTACCACGGTAGAGAAATTTATGATTACAACGACCCTGTACTACGGCCGATCGTACACCATTCCTGTACAATGTATCGTAACAGTATTTACTATCGCACTAATGGTAATAAATAATGACTGTTAGTACATTTCCTGTATTTATTTCGAGACCTTTAATGTATCGTTCTGTAGTCAGCAGATTCCTACATATCCTCGAGTTATCCTTCTTTTCTTTCTTCCTTTAAGCGAACGATAAGTCAACATCGTTCATTTTTTAAGGGGAATATATAGTTGTCGATGTGACCCTCATCATCTAGACCTTAAAAAACCATAAGTATCGTTTAGGTCGTTTTAGATTCGAAACGCCGCGAGGACACAGTCGCGCGTGCCTTCAACGAGTAAATTGATTATGTCGGTAATCTCGTAACGACGTTTACCCTGGGTATGCTTCATCAATTCGGTAGTGAGAAGTTTGAAGCTGGACGAACCCTTCCTAATTCAATCAGGCAACTTCCCTGTCATGGACTCTGACATTAGCTTCGCCAGCTCAAACGGAAACTTCGACCGCATTGTAAGTTAGGAACAATTACTTCAGTCTTATTAAACGAATGAATTTTAGAAGTAGCTGTTATCGAATTTTATCTCCCAGCGTAAATTCCTGCATATGCGAAGCGTATGCGAGCAAGTCGATGTTGATATCCGAGATAGTCATAATTTCGTGGCAACGATTGTTCCGAAAGTTTAAGTAAACGTGGACGTTCGATAACTTTTGTCGAATGATAGACAGATTTCTGTTTAAGCAAGATTGATCGTTGCTAGCGTACTGCATCCGGTGATTAAACAAGAGGGCAACAACCTTCTATATGCTCTAGTCGTAAGTCAAACGTTTGTGGCTGTTAGTTGAGTGACATCTTAAGAATTTGGGTCGCCATCAACTCTAGGTCGACGTTTTAACAACTTCGTTTCGTTTCGATGACATATGCAAATGATTTTCGATGCGAATGCTAAGCCATTGCATTCGATATAACGGTTGTAACAAACAAACGTGCATTAAGAGGATAAAATTTGTTCAATTATTTATTCAAACCAATTTCATTATCACATTTCAAACTATTTTTGCAGCACTAAGACCATTTTTCTTTACGTAATATATTAAACGTAGAATAGCACACGGAGTGATTCCCGGGATTCGACTGGCGGCAGCAATCTATAGTAGTAGTAAATAGAAATGGTCAGTGTAAATAGTAAATAGAAATAGTAACATCATAAGAGCAGCAACAAAGAAAATTATAAAAATTTATTGAACCGCATACTTACCGTATAGGGTTGCGATTTTGACAATTTTTCTTTTTCTTCTATAGATAGATTTAACGAACATCTATATTGATATACACAAATCAATCATTAGTAAAGACAGTTACTCTCGGTAGATATCGACTTTTTTATGTAATTAATTAATATTATTAGTATTTTTTTTATATCTGTTGATATTATTAATACGATTAAACTAATTTTGGCTGGTCCTGTACGTAAGGACCCCTATTTAGGACTTCTAAAAGTCGACCCTGTGCATCGATGTTCAGCAGCCACTAATCTGCGTCCGCAACATCGATCACGTGACTGTTTTGTTTATATTCCCTGCCAATTCTCATTGGACAGAGTACAATGTTAGGAATTAATTTAACGTACGCCACCATCCTAAGGTTAATATAATAATTAATTAATATTTTATATAATTAAACTTACGAGCTATAGTCTATGGATCGTGGTATAATCATCTGTTCGTTTCTGCGAATTTCATCGACCTCGTGTTGTTGCTGCTTGATGCTTACTGCATATCTCCCTTCTGTCTGTAAAGTCAGATGACCAATCGTAATAACAAACGACGCGATGTATTAATTTAAGGACAATGCTCGCAATAAGGTACTGCAACTCTTATCTTTAATAAAATATTTCATGATTTTTCAAACCTCTATCCTTTGTGCAACGATTGGATCCTGGGCGAGATGTCCAAAACGATCCGGGAAGGCTTTGACAATCATGTCGATAGTCACATTCGGATCACTTAATACGTCAAAAGCAGATTTATGTTTAAAATTTTTAGATGGCGGAAAACAAAATAATTTTCTCCAGGTTGATTGCGAATGTACTTCATGTTTAAGCAATTCTATGTTTTCCCCTAGCCTAGATAAAACTGCATCTGTTTTCCTCATTCTTTCCTCGGATACACAACCACTTTCGTATCCCTTTCTAGTGAGCCTCTGATCGGCGTTATCTGGTCGTAAACTTAATCGAAATTCTGTACGACTGGTGAACATTCTGTACGGTTCATTTGTACCTAGTGTAATAAGGTCGTCGATGAGAACACCGATATAACCCTCCGTACGACTTATTATTAACGATTTTTTATTAAGAACCTAATAAACATTTAACAAAATAAATATCTTCGTTACTACTTTATAATATGCGTAATAAATGGTACAAAGACGAAACCTTAGCCGCAGCATTAACACCTGCTACAATTCCTTGTGCAGCAGCTTCTTCATAACCAGTTGTACCATTTATCTGTCCAGCAAGGAATAATCTTGGAATTTTTTTAGTCTCTAGCGTAACGTTTAATTCTTTTGGGTCAATATAATCATATTCAACTCCATAACCTGGTTTTACTGCATATAAAATTACAAGAATGTGTCAGAGTAGTAAAAAACATGAAATGTTGTTAAAAAAAAGAAAAAAATAAATAGACTAACCCATTTTCGCATTTTCTAATCCTGATATACAGTGGATAAGTTCCTCTTGTTTTTCTGCTGGAAGCGTACACGATAATCCACTAGGATATGTTAACGGCGAACTTAGCCCTTCTGGTTCAAGCCAAATTTGATGATGCTCATTTTTAAACTTAAGAATTTTGCTTTCTATGCTTGGACAATATCGTGGTCCCGTTACCTCTTCCGTAACGTGTAGATTGCAATGCATATTATCCTTTACAATTTTTGCAACAGCGTTGTTTGTATGCGTTATGTAACAATTTAACTGTTTCTCTACTGGTAACCAAACAGTTTCGTTCATAAATGAGAATGGCCTTGATACTTTGTCTGGAAGCTGTATCGTACATTTGGAAAAATCTATAGTAGATGTTTCTAATCGCGGTGGTGTACCTGTAAAAGTAATTAAAGATATTGTTAATTGTGAAGTCTGTGAATAAACTATAAAAAATGTGACATAATTACCAGTCTTTAATCTTCCCATTTTAAATCCAATCTTTTCTAATGTATTAGCTAATCCAATACTAGGTTCGTCACCAAGTCTACCAGCAGGTCTCTTTTCTAAACCAATATTGATCTGACCTTTTAGAAAAGTACCTGTGGTTATAACAACTGTACCACTGTATATTTTTGTTCCATCACCTACAACATAATTTTTGACAAAATGTTGCATTTTTCAAAAACAATCATCATACTAAATAATAAACATAATAAACATACTAAGAATTATTCCCTGACAATTTGGAGAATCTCCATCTACAATTAAATCTTCCACAGATGATTCACATATTTGTAAACCAGGTGTAATAAAAAGTTCTTCTTGAAGATGTTTTTTATATAAGACACGATCAATTTGAGCTCTATAACCCCACACCGCTGGTCCTCTAGAAAGATTTAATATCTTGTAATGAATACCAGAAATATCACATATACGACAACAAACTCCATCCAAAGCATCTACTTCTTTCATAAGATTTCCTTTGCCAATGCCACCAAAGGATGGATTACATGACATCTCTCCTACAAAAATATTGCTACAGATTATTATCAAACACTTTTTTTTAATTAAAAGAAAAATAAAAGTCTTACCTATTGTACTTTTCTTATGAGTAACTAATAACGTCTTTGCACCCATTCTAGCAGCAGCTGCAGAAGCCTCCGTTCCAGCATGACCACCACCAATAACAATGACATCATATTTATATTGATCATTGCTTAATGATAGATTTCTTTGTAATTGATGAAATCCTTGTCTATAATTTTTACCAAATAGAGGTAGTCTGATCATTATATTACTCATTTTTCTGCTTAGATATCCTAGGATATAAAGAATTAAGTATTCAGTTAAATATACCTTAAATTATTTATTGGAGTATGTATATCATATGTGTACAAAATATATTCATTAGAATCTTAAAATACAAATACATAAAAATACATAAGTAAAATTATACTTTTTGCCTAAGATATAAGAAATTCAGTACTTTTTAACTTCATGACTAAGGAATTATATGTAAGTGCATCTTTCAGTTTGGGTAATATCAACTTTTCACATATAGTTTCTTTATTTATAAAATTCACATCCATATATTTTAAGTTATTTATAAACTCTATAACAAAGTTAAAACAATTCATTAAAATTTCATCATAATTTTCAGATTTCCATTTTGAATCTTTTAACATCAGTTTTAGTGTTTTATTCCAATAACAGTCCCAAGATGAAGGAATTATGTTTACTGCGATACAATTCATCCATTTTGTATTGTCATTTAATATTAAACCCTTTTTGTCATATTCAAAAACAATTCCTTCTGAGTTTGTTATTCCTATGTGCAAGTCATTTACAATATGATAATTATTTAAAAAATTGCCATAAGCTGGCCTTACAACTATAGAATTTGGCTCATATGCTGCATTTGTATATGGATATGGAACCAGAAAAGGCATTGTTTTATAATCTGCGATACATAATTGACAAATTGGGCATACTTTGGGAACACTTTTACAGAAGACGCTTTTCGAACAACAATGACGAAAACACACTATCTTTAAATCAGAGGCCATAATTTTTAACTGATTTTAATAATATTTTATTACACATACATATGCATATAGATAAAATGCTAGGTTATGTTCTTCATGCTAAGAATCAGTGAAACATCTTGAAACATCGAAAACGGGATCAAATACTCGATCTTTATATTCAGGTAACTACAACAAATACTAAAATGAAACATAATATTTTAAATAAGGAAATAAAATATGAATAACGTATTTAAAAAAAATGATTTCATAATAATCTAGGTTACCTGTTATAATTTATAATATTCGTTCGTGATAGTATTTTTATACAATTAATATACGTTTGACTTTAATTTATGTATTTACATTGCAGCAAATATTTATTACATACTCAATAAAGCGTTACGCGGCCACTAACTGAATGAAAATATAAATTTACGAAAGGTTGGTATAGAAGGATTTACCGACAACAGATATACTTGTAAATAACTGAAATTAAATTTAGGAGGTGGTAAATAATAGTAATTCTTAACGAATAAATAATATGCAAAATTACGGTGAAATATTATATATGTTATCTAACATGTTCATTTATTATCAACCAATGATAATTTAATAATAAATATTTAGCCTTACCTACTGTAAATAAAAAATCAATTAATATATAATTATAATAAAAAATAATTTTCTTATGTCCTCATCTAATGGTTCAGCGTTTTGAAATAAATATTGCTCATTTCATGTATATGAAACGGAATTAGGATTCGATATTTTGTATAAGTGAATGATATAATTCAATAATTATACCCATGTATAGATAAACGTATCAATATTTGTTTACATGCTCCTGTTAATTGCGAATATTTGCGATTTATGTAGGGATCGTTTCCATTCGCAATCCTGAGTTGATGATATAGTCTCGACCTCGAAATGCGACCAATATTACACTTGACTAGCGCGTTCCCGCCCTTCCCCCACCACTTAGTTCAGACGCGTGCCGTGCGCCGTGGTAGCGCTGCGATAGTAGCAGCTGATCCATGGTACAGTGTGGAGCAGTCGTGTTCGTACCGCGTTTCATAGTGTGTTTGTACCGGTACGCTTATACGACGTTTCTCTTCCTCTTTTAGTTTCATCATAGTGATTCTCGTGCACGGTACTCGTGACAAGTGACTGTTTCGAATCTGGTATTCGATCGAATCCTCTGCTGACACATTGCGAAACAGTGAAAGGCGAAGAAGACAAGCAAGGAGAACGACGACGAAGGACGAGCAAGGAGAATCCGCCTCGCCACGTTTATCACGAAAAACTGGTGAGTTTTAATTTCACATTATTCGACATATACGGACGACGCGACGCAGAAAAACGTATTGTAGAAAATGGTTGGAATCGTGACACGTGCTTCGAGATTGCTCTTGAGGATGAACGTAGAAGGCGCACACGTGAGACTCGCGTACCCTTTCGAGGTGACTGACACCTGATGCGTCAATGACCATACCACGCGTATGAGTCGCGTGTACCTCGTTTCTGTTTCACGATTCCAAGCTATTTCGGTTTAAGAGAACTGCATTTGAGAACGCGTGGTATTAATCTCCGACGCAAAACATACTACGACTCTCTCGTACGGAACAAAAGGGCAGCCGCGTGTTTTTGCGATTAGTGTGTCGCCAAGCGAAGCGGAGATAGGTTATGTCACAGATGCCAACAGCATTTTTTAGTCGTGGGATTCACGGGAGTGGCGGGTCTCATCCCACGATAGATAATTTTAATATGTGCATACACGTGTGTTGAACAGAACGTAACTTATGTCATCGATGCATTATTCTGTGACGTTTGATTCGTGTTTTTCATCTAAATTACTGCGTTACATATATACATCGCAGTAGAAACTACGTTTTCATAATACACGTACGATGAATATTCAAGGTCAGGGTTTGTCACAGTAAGAACGTTCGTCTAATATAGACTTATTCACAGCTTCGGTCTCAAAATTGTGTTTACATCTTAGAAAATAATTTTCGTAGATACTGAGAACACATTCTTGTCGTGCTCGTCTGTTAGCGCGTAGGTTTTGTATACACGTCGCGGGCGAGGACATTTTGGATGACCTTATTTTACGAGACGACGTTCGTAACGTATATTTGCCAAATGTTTCATTCGCCGTTCACTGAATAATGTTTTATTTACAATGTTTCGTATTTCCAATACGCTATAAAGTCAATCAACGTAAATTCACGATATTTATTACTAGAACGAGGATAAAAATGTTTCCCTACGACGAGCTGCGTTCAATTTTAGATGAATTATCACGCGTCACGTGATGACAGCGAGAAAAGGGCACCGTTAGCACTCGGTTAGAGTCCATTGCGATATTTGCGCTTTGTTCACCTTGATACGTTACGCAATTTAATAGATCTCGCATTTCGTACAATTTAGTGCGCAATAACGTGGATTACAATGGTATTATAATTTTTGAAAAACTGCCGTATATATTTTCTTCCTGTTTCACGCAATAAAAATGTATTCTCCAAATTGAGCATTAAATTGCCGATATCTGACTCGATATTTTCCGTAACGCAATTGAACAACGTTGTCTCGCTTCGATATTATTTTTTCTGCTATTGACATTTTAACGACAACTCTGAAAGAGGGTGCTGTTTATGAATCGAAATAAAAGCGAAATTGCTTATGAAAATACGGGGAGGAAGAAGAAAAAATATTTCAAAAGCATTGTATGCACACGTGTCACACCGACGAATCCTCTATTATTTCCGCCAAACGTTGCTCTAACCTCGCGCGCATGCGCGCCAGAGCACGTTTCGCCGGTGAAACTTTATGGAAATTTCGGAACACTCGCACTCACCCCCGAGTGCTTCGTTTAAATTTCATTATCTCGAACACCGGCTAAATGACACGTCTCTCGTTCCCTACGATGCCGCCAAAGCTCACCTCGCCTCCGTTGGAAACGAATTAGGCGATAACAATTGTCGCTCGTGCGTCCGTTGTTCGCGATCGGGCCGCAAGGCGGTGCACGTGCAGCAATGGGGTGCGTTGGAGGGGGAAG